GTGGAAGTAGCGGGATTCCAACAGGGCTTCGCCAAGCGCTGCGGGAGGAGGGAGATGTGTCATGGGAGGGAGAGGGAGGCGCCAGGGCTTAGGTATGGTTGCCCTCCCTTCCCCCCACTATATATAGGGCCAAGGGAGAGGGGGGCAGCCTTGACCCTTCCTCCAAGGAAGGGTGCGGCCAGGGAGGAGTCCATCCTCCCCAAGGCACCTCGGAGGTGCCTTCCCCTTTTAGGACTCTTCCTTTCCTTATCTCTTGGCGCATGGGCCTCTTGGGGCTGGTGCCCTTGGCCCATACAGGCCAAGGCGCATACCCCTACAGCCCATGTGGCTTCCCGGGGTAGGTGGCCCCACCCGGTGGACCCCCGGGACCCTTCCGGTGGTCCCGGTACAATACCGGTGACCTCGAAACTTGTCCCGATGGCCGAAATAGCACTTTCTATATATAATTATTTACCTTCGGACCATTCCGGAACTCCTCGTGACGTCCGGAATCTCATCCGGTACTCCGAACAACTTTCGGGTTACCGCATACTAATATCTCTATAACCCTAGCGTCACCGAACCTTAAGTGTGTAGACCCTACGGGTTCGGGAACCATGCAGACATGACCGAGACGTTCTCCGGTCAATAACCAACAGCGGGATCTGGATACCCATGTTGGCTCCCACATGTTCCACGATGATCTCATCGGATGAACCACGATGTCAAAGACTTAATCAATCCCGTATACAATTCCCTTTGTCTAGCGGTACGATACTTGCCCGAGATTCGATCGTCGGTATCCCGATACCTTGTTCAATCTCGTTACCGGCAAGTCTCTTTACTCGTTTCGTAACACATCATCCCGTGATCAACTCCCTGATCACATTGTGCACATTATGATGATGTCCTACCGAGTGGGCCCAGAGATACCTCTCCGTTTACACGTAGTGACAAATCCCAGTCTCGATTCGTGCCAACCCAACAGACACTTTCGGAGATACCTGTAGTGTACCTTTATAGCCACCCAGTTACGTTGTGACGTTTGGCACACCCAAAGCACTCCTACGGTATCCGGGAGTTGCACAATATCATGGTCTAAGGAAATGATACTTGACATTAGAAAAGCTTTAGCATACGAACTACATGATCTTGTGCTAGGCTTAGGATTGGGTCTTGTCCATCACATCATTCTCCTAATGATGTGATCCCGTTATCAACGACATCCAATGTCCATGGTCAGGAAACCGTGACCATCTATTGATCAACGAGCTAGTCAACTAGAGGCTTACTAGGGACATGGTGTTGTCTATGTATCCACACATGTATCTGAGTTTCCTATCAATACAATTCTAGCATGGATAATAAACGATTATCATGAACAAGGAAATATAATAATAACTAATTTATTATTGCCTTTAGGGCATATTTCCAACAGTTCATGTGATTCATCGGAATTGTTCCTAGTGATTGAGAGAATTGTTCCCTGTAATTGAGAGAAGTGCTTCTGCGGATCTAAGCAATAATAATCTGGAAGCGGCGATGGAGGACATGCATGTGTAGACCAGAACCAGATGGAAATTTTAGTTGAAAAAGAACCAGATGGAATTTTTAGTCTCCATGTTTCGTTAACCTTCTTGCCATTGGATCCGGCTTGCCTGCTCCCTTCCCATGCTCCCATCCGTGCTCCCACTTAATCCTACGGTTGTCTTTTTCCCTTTTTTCTTTCTAATCTAATCATTTCCCCCCCTGATTTTAAGGGGGTGGGGTCGGGCCTTATTTTATTCCAATCAAAATAAGCCACGTAGACATGAGCACGGATGGGCACATGACGGGGGAGCAGGCAAGTCTCGTCCCTTGCCATTTGGCACCTTGAGATGCTACATCATTTTGTCCCGGTCATTCGCCCTCACTTACGTCAATCAAATGTAGACTCGGGCCCCGCCGGTCATTCTCATGGGAAGGACAGATTGTGAGAGTGGAAAATACAATGGGCAAATGATAAAACTTTCCCACAAATAAACTGCATCTTCTGAATGTTGGGTGATTTTAATATTCATGCTTCTCGTCTCATAGTCTTAAACTCTTACGCCCTCTCTAAACTAATATAAGATAATTTAGATCACTATACATTTAGATCACTAGAGTAGTGATCTAAACACTTTTATATCAGTAGTGGTCTATACACTATTATACTAATTTACAGAGTAGTTTTGTACGGGACTCTTCAGGCCTTGCTCTTTGCTTCACTTTGATTGAAGAACATAGGGGATACTGCCTGAAGAAGTCTTTTATGGACTAAAGCAATCAAATGTTGTTTTGGGTTAAAGAAAATGAGAGGACAATTGTATTCGTGCAAAGTTATAGAATGGGAAATTCATTTCCTAATCCTGTGCATGTGGATGACATCCTACTTTTTAGTGGTGATGTCAACCTACTGCGGGAGGAGAAAAGAAGTTCTTATCCTCAAAGTTCAAAAGAATGTTCTCGGTAGAGTGTCTCTCGTTATAAGTATCGAGATTCACAAAGAAAAGAATAAAATGGGGTATTAGGGATGTTGAATGGACATGCTAAGAAAGGTCTCTAAAGTATGCATGCGAGAAACCTACGCATGTTCTTATAGTCAAGGGTAATGGAATAGGAAACTATGGTGTTCCAAGAGTTGATGAGAAAAGATTCAAAACGGATATGGTACCATATGCTTCAGTTGTTGGAAGCTCATATATTACCCTGACATAGTTCACGTATCCAGATTGTTTTGGCAATGTCCAGTCCATGTATAGATCACTGGAATGGAGTCAAAGATATCAGCTTCATGCTGAAAGAAATAAGTGTTCTCAAAAGATTGTGAGTACAAAGACAGGACTTGTGAAATGTATAGCGAAATCCACAATTGTCGCTAACTTTCATACTTGGAGATTTTTGTGTGAAAAAGCTCCAAAGAATGAAATAATTATCATCAATATGATGCAAAGACATGTTATAGCTTGATATGAGGCTGAGGGACAGGCAAAATGGTTATGAAGACCTGTACCCGAAGTTGATAATGGTTGACAACAGCGATAACCATTTTAAGTTTTTCTCTCCTATGACAACGAGTCAAGTGTTGATGCCAAACACACTGACACAGAGTTATGCGTTGTAAAGGAGAAAGTCCGGAATTATGAAGAAATGCTTGAAGCATAAAAGCAATAGACAAGTATTTGCAGATCTGCTTATTAAAGGCTTACCGCCCAGTGTGTTCGGAGAACACACAGTCGACATGGGTTTTATGGTATAGTCTAAAATTTCCGGACAATAAAAGGGCCCAAGGTTAACGAATTTGTTTCAAAACAGAGAGGTACGTTGTGGCTGTCTGTTTCTATCGGCAATTGAGCTGTGACGATGAAACATGTTCTATGTATTGATCTGTTATGAAACGAGTAAAGTAAAAGTATAAGATCAAAAGTAAAAGTTGAGATCAAGGGGGAGAATGTTAGGGTGATCTCCACCGTGTGGGCCCAACGGCCCACCGGACCCTTAGATCCGAGCCCTGATCAGGGGTGATCAACCCACTACGGGTGACGGGCCCCTGTCACCTGCACTATATAAAGAGGTGGGGGCCGGCGGGTCGCATCACGAGGTTCGTCGCAACGCCGTACTCCCACCACATCCCCTACCGATTTAGGTTAGTGCAGTGCTGATGGGAAGCACCGCCACCACTACTCTCTGCCATCACTGACACCATGACCGGCACCAGGAGCTCCTCGAGCCACAAGGACAAGGTAGGTTCACCGGATTAATCTACCCTACCCGATCCCACAGATCTAACAGGCCTCCCATACCGTTAAATATGTACTCCCTCCGTTTACAAATATAATATTGACACGAAAAAAAAACGAATACTTTTGTAGCTCGTCATTTATTGGCAAGTATAGAAAAATAGATTTGCCAACTACTTGTCTCATGGCTTTAATTTAAGCTCCATGCAAAGTCGTAGGCAACACCTAGGATAAAAACACGTCTGAGTCACATGCAGGGAAACTTGCACACGTGTGGTTCTTGACACTGTTATGAGAGAATTATAGAAATTATGGGAATCCAGGGAAGAAAATATGGCGGGCGACAAATTTCTTATGATTGTGAACTGGATAAATATCCTTGGAAGCTAATCCTCTGGAAAGTGCGGTAGTAGCATCCAAATGTACAAATGTTGTGGCAGGGTCGGTCAAACCGAGAGAGGGAATGTGATGAATGCGGTTTTGAATAAGATAACCTTTGCATTTTAGATTTGGGTCTTTGTTGCATTTCAAACTAATGAAGAAGTCAAATAAGAGGTATTCAACTTTTTATGATTCTAGCATAGAGCTATTTTGCCGCTCAGGGTTTTATTTGAAATCCAAATTGAAATGCCTCAACTTGACAAATTGGCGGGCTCTGGCAGGGTTCTAGGTAATGACCCAAACCGATACCAATAGGGATGAGGGAAGGCTTACTTATTAGTTTCATAATTTCCCTAAAAATAATAGTTTCATAATTGATTATATTCCCCAATTCATAACTACAAAAGTAAGAGGTCAGAAATCTTGGTATCCAAAGGTCCCTAAAGGGTATTCACTGTTTGCTCCTTCTGGATATTTCATAATGGACTACATATAGGCTGAAATGAGTGAAAAACACACTAAAACATGTCTATATACATCCGATTCAGAAAAAAGTACCAGCAAAAAAAAAAAGAACATATTATATTTGTGAACAGAGTGAGTACTCGGTTTGCAAGGAGCTGGCACACACCAGTGCAAGTGCAACAAATTTTTCAGTTTAGGCACGTAATGGCAACTCTAAGGAACTCCAGCAGACATGCCAAAACACACTGTTTCAGAAACAATCAGGACACCACTATATATAGCACTATAAATCATAGACGAAGCAGCAGATGCAACATCTGCCGGATTTCCATACAGGCACACAACTATCTGTCTAAGCAAGTGATACAAACAAAAATATTCGACACGCGCCAAAGTGCCCAGAGAAATTGAATATCAGGTGTAAGCAATCATAAAACTGACGAGCGCGAAACTTTGAAGGATCAACATCGCCCTAAGCTCTGGAGGCCTCAGAACTAACTCTTCCTGTGTAAAACTCTGGCACGGAACAGAATGGACTGACGAGAATCAGACTAGGATGCAGCAGATACAAGCTGGGCCTTTTTCTGTCTGACAAAATTTTGGACAAATATCTCCCCCGCACGGTAGGAGGACCGGACCTGAAAAAAGTCCAACAATACAAAAGTGAGTTCCTGTAGTTTGCTAACAGCAGCAACCACAAAACTGCAACTAACAAGATGAGTGAGAATTGGTAAAACGTTTGTCTTCTAAAATAAACATTGGCATTCCTTGTCTCAAATATTATTATCTAAAAACATAACCAGCTATATGCAATGCTTACCAGAGGTCCACTAGCAACATATACAAATCCTAAAGATTCTCCATACTCCTTCCAGAAATCAAACTTCTCAGGAGTCACATACTCTCTGACTCTCAAATGTCTTTCTGTTGGCTGTATGATCAAGGAGATTTGGGTGTTACAGCATTTACAAAGGCAGCAGGGTAGTATAAACTATAAACAATACACTGTAAAGTCGATAAACATTCTCCTCAAAGAACTGGGCTAAACATCAAACCTGTAAGTATTGTCCCAAGGTCAGAATGTCAACGTCGATGGCCCTCAAGTCAGCCATGGTTTGCTTTATCTCCTCGTCTGTCTCACCCAGACCAAGCATGATCGAGGACTTTGTTACCATGCCCTTTTTGCAAGCCTTTGCTTGCTTCAGAACCCCTAAGCTCTGATCATATCTGTAGAGATAACGGATTGGAAATAAGGTAGCAGTTGCATCGCCAGATGCAAATATGATGACATTAATGATTTCCCTTCTGTAATTGCTTCTAAAATTATCAGTGAAGATGCAGGTTTTGAAATTACAGATGTCATGTTACCAAATCATTAGAGTACTGTGAATGAGTGTGATGGAGTCAGAGGAGGGTATTGATGATATAGTGCTTGAGGGGGCTCCCCTAGTTAGTATGCACAATGGTGGGAGCACAATAGACTGAGCAACGTACAAAAGAAGTCGGATAATCTTATTACCCTGCTCGGGGATCTCTAACTATTCTCTGCATACTCCTCACAGTTTCGATGTTGTGCGCATACACATCTAGACCAGAGTTTGCCAGAGACGCAACTGCCTCCAGGTCGCCTCGAAAATCTGAAGTTAGACACTCCACCAATATCGCAGGCTTCAACTCCTGAACAGAAGACCCAGAACTATCACATGGTAGATTCACCAACTTAATCAGCAAGCTAAGGCGCCAGAGACAAACCTTGAGAGCCCTGACTGTTTCGGCGAAATGGCCACTTCCACCATCCGGGATGTCGTCTCTGTCGACGCTTGTCAGCACGACATAGTCCACTCTGCAAAGAAACACCGTTTATTATCAGATACTAATTTGTAACATCTTAACATGCCGATAATTGTCAGTGATTGTACCCCCAACTCGCAATCGCGATGGCCGTTTTCAGAGGCTCGAGGGCGTCAGGCGGCGGGGGCTTGTTACTGGTCTTGACGGCGCAGAACCGACAGCCCCGGGTGCAGGTGTCGCCGAGGAGCATGATGGTCGCGGTGGCGATGCCGTCCCCTTCCCCGCCGGCGCCACCGCCTCCGTTCCAGCACTGCAGCAGCAGCAGGCAAACCATCACCAAATCGCTGAAAGCATTCGCCCGAGCCACGAACACGGCGGCTCCGTGGCAAGAGGTTCGATGGGCTCCACCTACCTCCCCGATGTTGGGGCACTGGGCCTCGACGCAGACGGTGTTGAGCTTGAGCTCGCCGAGCGACTCCCTGAGCCGGGCGTACTTGTCCCCCTGCGCCGCCCGCTGCCGCAGCCACGCCGGCTTCTTCGCCTCCGGGTCCCTCCCCGTGAACGGCGTCGGCGGGGCCCATCCCGACGCCGCCGACGACGACGACGCGGGCTCGCCGTGGCATCTCACCGCCGGCAGCGCCTGCCTGGGCCGAGCGAGGAACCTCGCGCCCGCGGAGCCCCGCGCCGAGGGGGGCGGGGGCGGGGGCGGAGGCCGGGCGAGCGAGCTCTGCATTGTGGCGCGCGGAGGGATCGAGGCGGGTTGAATTGAACCCTAGGGCGCCATCGCTGCCGCTGTGTAGCGCGGCGCGGGGGCGATGGTTCCGAAGCTGGGGGGAGAGGGCTTCTGGCTGTGACGGATTTGCCCCTGAGATCTGGTGGACTGCACAGGGTGGTGGGGAGGGCAGGATGGGTATCTCGCGGGAAGACGGCGATCGCACCAAAGCCAGCCTCGCCGTGTTTTTAACTGAAAACACAGTGGTTGGTAAGCTGTTTTTGACCTTGTGTGGTGGTGGGTGCGACGGTGCCAACGCCGTGGCGTGTTGGACGCCGGCGTGGCGGGTGGGGAGAAGGCGACGGCGGCTCTGCGTCGAGCTCCGGGGGACCTCGCCGGCCGGACTGGAGGAAGAAGGTTTCGGTGGCGGTGAGATAATCCGACTGCTGTCGAGACTTAAACTGTGAGTAGCAGTCTGCTGTTGCTGCCAAAGTTCTTCAGTCATTTGCTCTGCTTGCACATGATAAATTCACCTGTACATACAAATTTCCAGGAACAAAAGCCGTTGCTCTGCTTGCACATGATAACAGCGTGCCAAATCCACCTGTACATACAAATTTCCAGGAACAAAAGCCCGGCTTTGCAGCGCAAAGCGAATGAAATTCGCCTGTACATGCAAATTTCCAGGAATAAAATCCCAGTTTTGCAGCGCAAAGCAAATGAAATTCGCCTGTACATACAAATTTCCAGGAACAAAAGCCCGGTTTTGCAGCGCAAAGCGAATGAGGACAACACTAGATGAAAAAATGATGCAACAATTCGAAATGAGAGAAGGCACGAATCATATAACCAAGCTTACAAAGATAAGATCTCACACACATGTGTGGATCCATCTCATATCACACCAATGCATATAGAAATATAGATAAAGCAAACTGAGCTTCAACACTGCCACCACTCACACAAGATCCCCCACCCCACCCATCCAACACCAAGAAGCAGCAAACACAAGATATAGCTTGTAGAAACTCTACTTGCACAGCCATTGCCACCCCCCACCACCTTGTTTTTCACCGGGAGAAAATAAGGGTTAAAACTAGGTTTCCATCTGGTCCATCACTGCACAGTTACAACACAGGGTACATACATGGACAATCTGTCATGGATATATAGCCATCAGGCGGGTATTATACACCCACCTGAAGGGGAATGCTGGTTCTATTAAATTAACCTCCATCCTAGTCACAGCCTCACGAACGCTAACTTTGACACGGAGCCAACGGAACTTCTCCATGCTCACACATCTTGCGAAACAGGAAGCTTGTCTATCCCAATTCTGTAATCACCATCTGAAGGACAAGCAGCACATGTAGTTTTAACCGGGGACAGGTTCGGAAGTAGTAGAATGCCCGCCGCTAGCGCCGGAGTGGTTGTAGCCGATCACAGGCATAGATTTCCGAGCAAAGTCAAGAAGCATCTGGCGTTGTTCTTCGCTGGTGTGCGGAAGGCTTGCACGTAGTAGCTCGACGGGCATCTCCCTGCTGACGGCCTTCGAGGCTTCAGGTCCAGCCATTGAGTTGGATCCCTGCATGCTGAACCTCTGCAGAATGCTCCCATACTTGCTGTCGCAGTATTTCGTCAGAAGCCCAAAGAAGGCATCGAACGACGCCTGCCAAAGAGAACGGGTTGACCTGCTGTAGTTGGCTGCAGAATGGGGGTCGGCCAGTAGCTCAGTTGCTCTGTCCAGTACTGATTTGATGATTAGAGCAGCACCGTCACCAGCAGAGCTGCCAAGAGGGCGGAGAGGTGGCTGCTGCGACGAGCAGACAACAGCTGCGAGGCAGGCGCTGAGGGCACTGAGCTCCATGTGATGCACGCAGGAGGACACGGTCTTGGCAAGACTAACTGTTGTTTCTGCAGCACCAGAATCTGACGGCAAACCCCCAAACAAGCTCCTAAGATGCCGAAAGATAGCCATGCAGACTATGCGGGTCAGCTCACTTCCAGGGGCAAGAAGTCGGAGATACCGTGCCAAGAGCTTGCGTCCTTTAGGGAGAGAAACAATACGGAGAAAAATAAGGTCATCCGTCGGGGCCAATCCAGATGAATTGCCAGGTTTGTTGGGGCCAAAAGGGTCGACAAGCTCAAGTGATGTAGCTAAGCCTTCAAGGAGGACCTGTCGCCTTCGCCTCAGTTGGAAGCTGCTGTCCTGTGCCTGGCTAGACTGTAACACACGGTCAATATCATTTACATCTAGAAGAAGACATATACCATCCTCAACGGTAATTCTTGCTGCCAGCATTGGCTCTTTCTCCAGTGGCCTCGTAGATGACTTGTGGCCATCACCAGATGCAGGAATATCAACTTCAAGAAGAGGGCGAGGCCTACGTATGGAAGAGAATGACACTCTTCCAAGAGAATCAACCTTCAGATATGAATGCTGATCACCACCAGACCTAGACTTTGAGTGGGAGTCTTTTATTGATGCGGGGGAGAAATTCACCTTCTGCTGAGAGTTGACAGATCTTTTGGCTATACAAGCTTGGTGGTAGTAGTCATCGACATAAGGATCACTGCTGTGACTACCAGAGTGCTGCATTCTTAAAATAGTATCAATCTCTTCAGATGACATATACTTTGATCTGAATTTTGTTCCTCCAGTGTCAACATTCTGGCCAGCTGTATCAGATTGTTGTTGAGAAAAGCGCATACTGTGTTTTCCTCTTCCTGACCTTGATCTCTTGTCCCTTGGTGAAGGCACACTAGGAATATGATCAAACCTGCCTATTATCTCTGGGGAATGATGGTGATACAAGTGAGGCAGCATGTTTAGGTAATTGTGATGAGGCGGCTGAACTAGTGACAACCTCTGCTGCTGCTGTTGCTGCTGAGAAAATAGCAACGAAGACATTGAACTACTCGGAAAAGATAGTTGTTGCTGCAATAAACTGGGCTGTAGATTAAGATGCTCAAAAGCATGCGAACCAGCTTGACTTGGCCATTCATTTTGTAGGAAGTTGTTCGCGTATAGATCTGCAGAAGTGTAAGACATGCTTCGCCCCAATCGCAGTCCATGAGGTAGACCAGGCATGTTATATGGAGAACCAGTAAGCGACGAACTTGGAGAACCCATTTGGTAACCAGCACCTGGTGATGGAATGCTCGAGTGCCGCGTAAGACCTTGTGCAGGATAAGATAATTCACCACCACCTGGTGGAGGATAGGATGTAAATGAAGGAGATCTATGTCCCAGAATAGGTTCACTGGAGCGGTGTTGTAGTGGCTCCAGGGGATAGGATGATGTTCGGCTCAATGGCTTCGACTCTCCAAACTGAGGCAAATACTGTGGCTGTGGACACAATTGTTTGCTGTCCTGCAATTCATCGCTGCCCAGTATATCATGATCTACCCAATTCGAGAACTCTGCTTCCTGAACCCAGTCGGTGGTAGTCAAAGAACCTACAGAAACACAATATTTAGCTCAGGAACTCAGGCACATTTTTAGGAAAATAAAGAAATGAAAATCTAGACAGATGTATGGACAATATTTAGGATTTGATTTATCATCTTTCATATTAAACATGTCTAAGTAAGGTTGCCAGCACAATGTTAAGTATACCTATGTTTAGACTGCATGTAACATAAATAAACTTTTCCAATATCAAGCTTCAGGAGTAACTGGAGGCAGAAATGCAACTTACTTTCCCTGGAAATCGATCGTCTATCACCAATAACACCAGGATTCCTTGTTCCGCTAATACTTCGGTTCAACTGAAGACAAGACATTTTTTTCAGTAGGCACTCCATGATAAATAAAAAGGGAAAAACATCAGGTGGCCCATGACGCCAGGGCCTAAATTGAGTTTCAACTCACAAGGCTCAAAGATTTTGACAAAGTACTATACCTACTCCATTAATTTACATATTGGTACATTTTAACTTTGGTATTTGGTAGATATGTAAAAGTGCAATCCCGAGATTCATGACATATTAACTTGTGTGACCAATTAAATCTGGGCATATGGTGTGTTTTTATCAATCTATATATGAATGGCTGAAACTGGAAAAGGAAGGAGCGCCCCCTAGTATATAGTAACACGGAGTACTCCAAAATCATTTTCAGGATTGTATAATTTGACACGATAGATCATCTTTTTCACAACATATTTTTAATAGGTTTTTCACAATATAGTAGTTGACTATATTATATGTTAGAAAGACTCATGAAATGGTGCAGGAAAAGAACTGCATTGAGCATGAAGTAATAAGCCTTCAAGAGCATAATCCTGGACATACTAAATCATTTGAAACTATAGATGATAAGATGTATTATAACCAAAGGTATAAAACACATGAAATATAAAACAACTAACTGAAGTAATGGAGTTGGTATAGGCTGCTAACCTTTGCAAACGTGCTTGCAAGATCATCAATTTCAGACAAGTTACTCATGCAATCAATCTGCAAGAACATAAGAAGACGGCAAATTTTGATCATGAAAAATATAGGGAACATGACTACAGGAGTCAAAAGAAAGC